TTTACTTGCATGTAAAAGATCCTCGAACCTAAATGACGCCTCTGAGCTAAATTCAAAAATCGCCTGTTTCTCGCCCAAGTTATACCTCCTTTCTCCGCTACTTGGTGAAAGGAGCGTAGCGAAATTTTTTGTGGTCAGACGGAAGAGCGGGCCTCATGGCCCGAGTCTCGCCACGTACAATAAGGCAACAATCGAACTGAATGCAATGGCGCTGCGCAGTGGTGTCGGAGCGGCTGGGCGCGCACGCGCTGGAGCTGCCGTTCGCGCGCGGGGGCTTCTCGCTGCTGCTGCTGCTGCCGCCCTTCTCGTCGGCGGAGGGGCGCGGCGCCGAGGGCGGCGCGGGCGGCGTGGAGCTGGGCGTGGACGCCCTGCTGCGACGCCTCGACGCCCCCGCGCTCGCAGAGCTGCTGCGCGACCTGGACGGCGCCGCGCAGACCGTCGAGGTGCACGTGCCGCGCCTCGCTCTCGACGCCGACATCGACCTCGTGCCCGTAAGTGTTTTTTTATTTTATTATTTTCTTCCGTTCTTTTTTTTTTCTGTTTCCCCTCCACAGGGTCCCTGAGGAGGCGGGAATTAATACATATTGGCCACTTTCATCTCTCACTCGTTAACCTAATAACAAAAGCTGACCCATTACCTCGTCCTAAATGTGGATCCCTAGTATCTACATCCCATATTATTTTGGAGTGCCCTGAAATAGCCCGTATAAGACAGTCCTTAAATTACTTAAAAGACTCTCTATATAATTCCTTCTCATCCCCAGAAGAATGTATAAAAGTCTTACAACTTTTAAAAACATCAAAAATTGATACATTAATGTAAAGACCCTCCTTCTCATATACCATAATCATTCAATCATGTTAATATCAAAAACGTCTGTAATGTAAATATATAAATATGTGTATCAATTGGTGAACAATACGCTGCTGCCTTACGGCTTGAACAGCTAAGAGGAGGAGGGGCTGTTCCTGATAACTAACTAAAACTAATGTACTTTTAGTTTAATCTGATTGTATAGTTAATACGCGCATTGGCACACCTAACGTGAAACAATTGTTTTTCTTAACAAATTTTCTTAAATGTTCTTGCTTCTTTCTTTAGTAATAATAATTAGTAAATAAGAAAATATGAATAATTAAAATAAAGAAAAAAATAAAACCATGTATGTGCCACGGACGTTAACTGGGTCAATTGGGCCAAAGGCACTCGACCTTTTTGTTGCCGCTGATCTTTAGAACCCTTGTAACGCCCTTGGTTCATAAATAGCTATTATGTTGATAGCAACCAGATCACTGGCAGACAAGTGAAGGGGACAATACTTGCAATATCGGATACGATTGTGGTGAATATGCAATTTTCGTTTTCTTTTGTTACACGCTGTAGCTCGTGCTACCAACATAATTTCTGCTGCAAGCAGTCTCACCAGCTCGGTGCCACTTCAGGGAGACTTTCCTGGCGCATTATTTTTGAAGGGTTTCTTACAAGAACCAAACTAGTGCAAAATACAAATTTTCCATGAGACTCCGCAAGCTTTATAGCGTAGATATGCGAAGAAATGAATTTATGACTTTTACCCGCCTTATATTTGCGAATGTGTTTGGCACTTGCCGAAGGAAATGTACCAGGAGCTATCGCCAGTTGTAGGGAATAACTTGGTTAAAAATACCAAAATATGGAATTTTGGTATTGTTTGGTTTCTGCAAGACCCCTCATTTGTACTTTATTTATTCAAAATTATTACCATGTCTAGAATCACATCACCTCTAAAGCAGTGATATCCTTCTAATAAAAAATATTTTTATTTCATGCTGTCAAAAAATACTCAAATTTCTTCAAATATATCTAGGGGGGGTCTGTTCTGAAAATGTCCCCCATGAAATACTTTCTGTCACTGCCCCTACACCATCACTAGTGGCGCATACCGTATTTTTTAGAGGTTTGGTCTACTTATGTAATCGTATTGTCCAGCCGACTTGAAATTTTCTTATGTTTTGACAGTCATAATGTCATCTTGGGACCGGCCCCCACACCGGATAAAGATTTGGTCGGTTAACCGTTGTTCCCTTAATAGAAATAAAGTACACTGCTTAGATCGTTTTTATTAGTAAAAACCAAGCGTACTTTATCCTTAATGGACGCCAGCGGTTAAGAGTAGCTTTTCGTTTCTCTTTTGCTTGAGCTAAGTCGATGTAACAAAACAGAATTACGAAAAAGCTATAACAGAGCGTGTCAGAAGATACAACTTTCCGGGCCCGGCGAAAGCTTACAAAGAATTATTTTAGTCTCTTTTACTTTAGTTCCTTGGCCAGATGCCAAGGTTGTACCTGCGTTGTAAACTTTGCGGTAAGCTGGTTTTTGGAGGTGGGGTTTTTTGGCGTTGTAGTCAAGGACCTTCACTGCTGTTTAACAGGTTTTGATTTTCCTTGTCCTTTAAAAACGAAATGCTGATTCAGATTTAACGAAGGCGTTCTATCCTTTATAAGGAACTCTATCACGTGTATTCTCACTTCTAAGAGATTTTCCTGCCTTAAAAATAAAAATATATAAACAATGTAGTCACCATTTTGAAATGACTCTTTGAGGGCGGCACTCGGATCTGACTGCCTTCAGCAAGTCCCTGAATTAACAAGAGGTAACTTTTATTTCCAAATTTATTTTAATTTCTCAGGATGTAACCGTAATGATCTTGAACTTTTGGTTATCGAGAGCATGCGAATTATTTCATTCACCACTCAAATTCCATCAATTTCGGTTTTTATATTTCAATGTTCGGCGTCAGCTCCCCCAAAATCCCTCCACACTCCATTCCCGGGAAGTTGTTTTATAAATGATATTCGTATTTCTTTTTACACCGATCACTTCACGATGAATAGGTTTCCTCCTTTCTGAATGCTAAGCGGGAACAAGGGAAGGGACTGTATTGATGAGCTTACGCAAAATGAGAAAGTAAAATAAATACAGTAATAGAAAGGAAGACTTTGGAAAAATGGCAGAAACAAGAAACGGTTTGGTTCATGTACGTGAGGAAGGAAGCACCCATGACTACGAAAGGGAGGAGCAAAGATAAGGTAATAAAGAGGAAAAAAAGCACATAGCACAGCCTTATAGAGATCTGTTATCTGCTAATGTAATAGAATAATTGTATTACATTAAGAGATAACAGATCTCCACATAGCCATTCTTACTAAGTGAGTAAGAGTGCCATTGACTTCCTCACGTATGAAGGGAAGAATACTGATAATTTTTTGTGATTTATTATCCATTGGTCTACTTGCCATTCTTTCTTTGAATATATTCATTTTTGAAAAGTTATGAAAATGCTTAATAAATATATTGAAGTTGAATGAAAATTAAAAAAAAAAACATCAGTACGATCATTATGACCATGTCTTAAGAATGCCAGCTTATAAAATCTCAACTGTTTACTGTCTCCAAGGACAAAGAACAAGAGAGTGTTCCTAAGGGATGGAGAAACCAGCTTCTTTAAAGACATCGGAAAAGGACCAAGAGCTTGACACTGGTAGCTGGTGTTGTTGATGTGATGAAGATGATTCTCGTAGTTCCCCGAAATTCTTGTTTTTCATGGGTTATTGACCGGCAACTGGAGGTGGATGCGTGCACAACACACATTAGCCCATTTCAAAGATCGTTTTTTGACAATATACTCCCTCTTTTAATCTATATCCGTCAGTTTGAGATTACGATGACGCACGCACCTGTGCCGACATATATCTAGACGAAAACAAACACAAGAAAATCCCCTTTTAAAGCTTATCTTTTTTACGTGTACAGTAGAATACTGTGCTGAATGTGAAATTGCATAGGCAGTTTTATAAGGCCTAACACATATGTGAGTAAACGTCCTGCAATTATGTACTGTAAATACACGAAAAAATAACAATTGCAGTATACCAGATCCATGATACTGTAACAAGGGAATTTGTTACAGTATCATGGATCTGTTATACTGCAAATGTTCTTTTTTTCCGTGTATATTATCACACTTATATTTGTTAAGTTTACTCCTACAAAAGTTCTTCCAAGGTATTTTCTTCATTGAACTACATAACAAATCGACTTAATGCAATGAATCAACGGGACGAAAAGGCATCCTTAATGACCAGCCTCCGATAAGGATTTTACTGTCCGCCGTTTGTTGAGCACAATCAAAACAACAGAGTTGAAGCTAAACAGGGCTGTTGAGTACTCTAACTCAACATTTATTAATGATAATAGTAGTAAGAGTAGCAATCTTTTTTCGCATTTAGGAAATGTTGATACAAGTGGCCGATAGGCCGTAGCCCAAACTTAAGAACAAAATAAAATCATTTTTACCACATGTGCCATACACTGTTTTTTAGACAGCCTGACTGAATTTCATTTTATTTGAATTCAAGGATACAAATCACATGATATATGAAGTTCAGTAGTAACTGATACGATCAGATGTAAGTATTTTGTTTTCTTTGTTGCATTCACAGATTCATCTGAAACTTCGAGCATCAATTCACTTTTAGCAATGTGATAACTGAAACTATATGAACTTATGGTACACATTGCAAGTAACCGCTTTTGTTAGGACTGTGTAAAAAATAGTGTTTCCAATTTATATGATTTTTTCATATAATAATGTAGTTTTAGGAAAAGTATTGAACGACCTCAGGACGATATCACAAATAAGAGGAGCTAACTTGGTTAGTTATGAACCTTGCTGTATAGTTATGACTCGTTTTAAATCTTCAACTTTGCCTTTGCCATAATAAAATTTAAATTTACCCCGAGCCAAACACGATCGCCTGAAGTCACAACTTGGCCGAAGAAAATGTGACGTACGAAATCCGTCGCCGCTTCATTTTTTTCAGAATACGGGTTCTCATCTCGATCATCTGTGTTCGTAGCCGGCATCTTAAACAGTCTTGTTGAGAATTCATACTGCACATAACGACGCGATGTCACTCGCCGAAAGCAACAATGGATGGACCTGGGAGGGGGAAGGGGCTGTCGAACGGCCGCCGACGCGAGACACACGACGCGCAAAAGCGGAAAGCCAAAACGAGGTCTCTGTGGACACTCTCGGATACGATTAAACGAGAGACTTGAAAATACAGACAGGCCAAACAATGCTGAGTGTGTGTACACTCCGATTTAGACACAGTGTCACTTCTGAAGCTTCACGAGCTGAACGGAGAGGTTGACATAGTCATCCTATTGGGAGCTTCGTCGCGACATAAATTTTTGGTTTGGGAGCTCACGATTGTATGAAAATGTCGGCCTTTCTTTCTAACGCGGGACTTTGAAGTGACACTACTAAATGTAAATAGGAATATAGGCTCCTGTCTGAGGTTGAAAATGGATTGATTGAATGAAATCAAAACGTATGGAGCAAACATTAATTTAGTGAATTGGGTACATGAAAAGACGCTCTCTCGATAAGGTTAAAAAAGAGACAAGAATACGGGCGGGTAAAACAGCCATTTATGCCGAGAGTAGGTAGGTTCCTGTCAATGACAATTGAACGACTGAATAATAATCAAAACTTTGTGCGTAAAAATTAATTTAGTGTATCAGTTACTACATGGAAACTATTTGACATTTGGATGGGAAATGTAGATCACAGGATGTGGTCGGGATTTGGCCGTGATCTACACTTCCCATTTCAACTGCATGGCCGTGAATCTATAATGGTTATGTGACGTTTGTTTGCACGGTTATCTCGTAAAGAGTGAGTAATAATGTGAGTTCTTCAATTTCCTTCAGATCATGGTTGAAAATTTCCCTAAGATTACGTTTGTTGGCACATACACGTTAGGTTTAAAAATATTAAGAAGGCTTCTGACCTGTAACTGTGTGGTGAGAACTTGTAATAATTTCTGACTTGTAACTGTGTGGTGAGAACATTGTGAAAGCAGTGACAGAGTATTAATTGCACTTTTAAAGTTTTGATGTGTACATTATTGAAATGTTAGATATGACTTCCACCTATTTTTTTAATATATTAATATTCTAAATATTATTCTAAAACTTAAGAACGAAGGTTAACATAAGGTTCTAAATCTGTAGGCGCCCTGAATCGACCGTAGAACTTCGATAGTGTTGCAAATACCCTATAATAATGGAGTTAAAATTCCTTATTTCCTTCTCCCATTAATGAAGTTCATTAAGTTTAGATGCGAAGTCTGCTCAAGATACCAATGCAGATATTACATCACGAAAGAAAATGTAATAAAATATGCATTTCACGTTTGAATGGTGAATAACAACATTCAGTTGTGGTAATTCATTCGTGTTGACACATCAGAGAAGCTTAAAGCCGACACGCGAGCGAAAATTTGAGAAAGCAAAATATATATATCAAGGCAGCGTTTTCCACGCGACGTGTTTGAAGAGGTGACGCCGTGATAAAGCGAGCTGCCGGCGAGGCAGAGCGTGTGCGGAGCGTGTTGGTAGGAGCGGTGGTGAAAGCGCGGGCGGGAGTGGGCGGGGTGGGGTAGGGGACCGGCCCGGCCCTGGCCCACTACAGCGGTGGCGCCCGGTTTCACTTTCTCCGGCCACGCATCGCCGCCGCCGCCGCCGCCGCCGAGCGGGTTTCCCATTGAGCCCAGCGCCCGCGGCGCCGCGCCGCGCCGCGCATTCCGCCCTCCAGGATCTGCCTCCGCCGCCGGCGCTCCAGTGTGCGCCAGGCAGGCTCCCCTCCTCCGGGTCAAGGCCTCTCCGGTGGCTCAGGGCATCGACGGATGGCACTGCGGTGCCTCTGACCGGGAGGTCCTAGAGTTTCACTCCCAACGGTGGCAGGATTTCCGACTCCAGCTTGTCAGCTAGGTCGTATTCAGCCGCTATCTGGAGGAGAATTCTAGCGGCCGGCTGCTCTGATCGGTAGTTTTCCGTGCTTTATCCGATCATACTAGGCTAATACCAGGCGAATGCCGGAGCAGTACCCTTACAAACGGGCTATTGACCGCGTGGGTCCTTCCTTTCTCTTCATTCTCCTATCCCCCTTCGTTACACACACATTTACATGCATTGCACTAACACACATGTCGGGAGACCGCTTGGGAGTTCAGAGCTTGTACAGGCAGGGGCGGTGCCCCGCTGGGGGAGATACCTAGTTGAAGGAAATCCCGTTCACCGATCGTGCTTGAAAGCTTGTAAAGGAGCAGTTACTTATGGAACAACAATGTTTGATCCTTGGGAAAAAGCATGATTCATTTTCAATAGACACTATCTGTGTTCACTAAGTAGATATGACCGAGAGGTCTTCAAAAAATATATATTAACTCAAAAATGAGCTTGGATCGCCATACAAAGTTGCACTAAGCCCTCGGTACATAAGCCAAATAAGCATGTGCTTAAAATCTTCATGGGTACGTGCCTCATACATTTTTAAACAATATTTTATATTCGTCTATAAATATTTGGATCATTATATTATTTTTGTAATTGCAAAACGTATAACTTATTTTCATTTTAATTTACAATAAAAATATTTCAATTCGTATCTGAGGACCCATTGTTTGTATGTGCTTATGTTCCTTTAAGGTATTATTCAGGTTCTGCAGCAGGCCATGCTTTTGGACTTTGCAACGGACCTTTCTTCCCTTCAATCACAGTTCCGGTTCCTTTCTTAAGATTGAACACAAGCGCTGACAAAGGGGGTCAACCGGGTGGGAATGTCACCAATATACTGTAAGAATCAACACATGATTCACACCGTGAATCACCCATCTCGCAAAAATTACGGACTCAATTTCTCCCTCTTGCCAAAGATATAAACTCTTCAGCAACTGTCATTGCTCTAAGATGAGTTTATTTAGTTCAATGTCGATGATTAGTTAATATTACAATGAAAAACAATATTGAAAAGTATAAAATACAAAGGTCACGTATTATGTAAAGTACATTGATATGTCTCTAAACTATGTTAAAACGTCTCATTTCGTGTCATAAATTAGAACGATTGGGAAATGTGGAACATTTTGCGGTTGATATTTCGTATCAACAAATTTGATCTGTCAAATATCTAATAAAGGCATACGAGATAAAGGCCGATCATTTCCTTGCAATACATTTTGAGTAACTAATATTATGCAAATGATATCAAATAATCGTTATAACGCATTTATTCTTACCTTGAGATGTACGCAGATGATATTTTCGCGCTAATGACTATTGTTCTACTAACAGATGCATAATTATATTGAATCCCTTTCTAAAGTTGAGCTATTCAATTTATCTATTGAAAAAAAAAATTAAAAGAATTTTCAGTTATAACTAGTTGTCTCAAGTCAAATGAACTTACGCCAGAGAGCTTACGTATCAAATTAATAATATTAGCTCCAAATAGATCCTAAAGCTGATGAATAGTGATGGCAATTATTCATTTTCACAATGAGGACGTTTACTTGAAGACAATAAACATCATGATTTAAATCTAATATTTATTGTTCTTTACGATTTAGTGCAAACAACTACTACAGCAATTCATGTGAAATTAATTATTATATTAGTTAATTGGTTATATACATTTGGCATTCCAAATATGTGAATGAAAGACACTGCCTTCGTCAACATTTCTGTTTACTTTCTTAGCAATTCGCGATGATGGATGGCAAAGCCACTGAAAGCGCCAATATAATAAAAGAAAATACTGGCAATGAAAACTTCATTTCTCCACACGAGCCAACTAAATAAACTGGGGCAAATTACGAGGCAGTGGGAGGGCAATGACCTTTTGGAGACGGAATGGGAAATCCGGTATCGCCGCAACAAAATAGGAACGGAGCCTTTACGTAGGGCGGAGATAAGATGCTCCGAAGTCGCTGCAGGCGCGGAGTCGAGGGCCTGTGAGTACGGGCGCGAAGCACGGCGCGCTGTGGGCTCCAGCCGGGGCATTCCATATCGCGCTGCTGCCTGCGGCCGCGCTGACGTCACGCCTCGTGTCTCGATCTTCCGCGCCCCGGCCCGCCGCTCCGCCCGCCCCACGCCTGTTTGACGCACCTGGCGCCGGCTCTCGCGGGGGCCGAGGCTTCCACAGACAGGCAAGTATTGCGAACGCGTGATCGCGGTCCGGCCTCCTTCCCTCCCCTGCGCCGTCTGTTACCGGGAGGCACTGGCGGTTAGGCTAGCTGGGTCATTCGTTGAGCGAAGCCCGGACACACACGTGGTGGGACACCGCTGTGGCGCATTGTCCGCGGGGTCGGGAGTTTACGACGCTAATCACTATTGACATAAAGATAATACAGAGAATACTAAAAATATAATTAAATAGATAAATAATGTGGCGGGGGCGGCTCGCCTCCCCGGCCTCCACGCCGCCACGCCCGTCGCCGTGCCTTTCAGCCCCCTGCGTCCCTGTGCCCCGATCCCCTCGCAACGGGCGGGCGCCTCCGCGGCGCATGTGCTCTGCGGGACGAGAGCGTGGCGCGCGTGTTTGCTCAGGCCTGCGGAGAGTCATCTGCGCCTTTCGCAGAGGAGTAGTAGGTGGATGGCACGTCACAAATCGTCAGCATGACAAGGCTGCCATCAACGAGATGGAAATCTGTTATTCCAGCTCGTTGGTTGCCGTGAATGGCACCGGCTATTTTCAGTACCCGTTCGCTCAAAAGGATGTCGTCTGAACGCAGTCCTTTTCGGTTCCTGTCGTTTGAGATTTCCATTTCCGGTCCCTGTCGTTGCGATTTCCTTTTCGGTTCCTGTCGTTGCGATTTCCTTTTCAGTTCCTGTCGTTCGTTTTCTAATGCGATATGCGGGTTGGGTTTTACCGTCTCCTCACGCGTTGCGCACAGCCTGCCTTTGAGCAAAGCGAAAGTCTCCGTTTAACACGCGGATGTTTCGCCACACTGTGTCCGTGATCTGCATGTTCCATAGAAGCTACCTTTTGGATGCGGTATCTCCTAGTAGGTCGATTGGAACTCTGCTTCTTGCCATCCCTCTCATTGGATTGGACTAGAATACAAAAATATATTAAATAAGCATTTATATTAAACATATTTTTGAAAATATATCTATTGTATAGAGAATTACAAGAAAATATCAATTTTTTTCAACGAGTCCTTATGGAACTTCAGTTACTCCTGTTAACACTTGTAGGGTTCATTCTCTCGAAAAATGACGTAAGCCGGAAAATAGGATATTTGAGGTATGAATTCTCTGGGACTCATTTACGAATTTCATGGCCAGGGTGTGAAATTCTTATTTATTGAAATGAAGAATGGAATTGTGTTACCACAACAGTTGAAAAAGAAGAAATGAAATAATAGTTCAATACTTCTGTATGGAGGATCCTCAATTCGTGGACCTTTAAATACAGCTTACAAAGTTAAGAGCATTTTCAATTTTTCTGATTTCTCTGTAGCTTGGCTGTTTCCGATTGCTTGAACTTGCAAGGGAACACAATGATCAATTGGAAAGACAAGGTGAATTAATTAAATCAAATGCTATGTGTACAATAACAAAGAACATTAATTTTAGAAGAATTTCGAAATCATAGAAGACACTGATACGAACATGAGTCAGGTAATTCGAATCTGCCAACACTGTCACATATTTATTCATTATTTGCTACGTTATCCTAGGTACATAAATTATTACAGACTCGGACCAGCTCCTTCATATGAAATTCAAAACCTTAGACCTGGTTCTTAAAGCAGACCTTGACGTTCAGGAACAACTTGCAATTATCAGAAATATATTCATACTGGTCGTCTAAGAGCTATAAAATTTAAATTATCAATGGATAAAAAATGAAAAAAAATCTAAAGAAAGAATGACACGTAATGATTGAGGTAGGCTTTAATCCGCCAATGCTGATGAAAAACGATCCCGCTTGCTATCCTACAGTTACTTTGCGTATGCGTTCTCTAGTTTCAACCTGTGAATCTGTGACGTAATTAACTGGTTTACGATGCCCTCATTCAGTGGGTTACATGCATTTAAGAGGCTCCCGGATGTAGATGTAAAGGGAAAAAGTAATAAAGGTAGAATTTTATTATCATAGGCGTGCACAGCTTAATACAAGAGGAGGGGAAAGCACATTTCTGGGCTCCCTTTTCCTTCCCTTTTTTTACTTATATATATTACTTGTAAATGAGCAAAACGTTCTAGAAGAAGAATCGAATAATAAATTTAATGATTTAATTAATAAATACGTTTTATGTCAGACTATTTAGAGTTGCCAGATATTTTGTAGAGCAAATTCCTCAAATATATCGCTCCCCGCGCCATCTCTGTACCTATGTTCATCATCAATTTCCATTGTAAGTGTAAATTAGTTTGAAATATATTTAATGATGCGAAACATTTGAGCGGTGACAGGAACGGAATTGCGTGAAAGATGAAAATGAACAAAGGACAAAAAATAAAATAAAAGTAAATTAAAAATATATGATCACATCGTTAGCTTTCCGTGGTTTCTCCGAACAACACCAGGTGAATGCCGGAACAGTATCCTAACAAACGGGCCACGGACCGCGCGCGAACCTTCCTTCCTCTTCATTGTTCTATCCTCACCCTTACACTTACACTTACACTTACATACTCCACTACACTACCACACATGTCCATCGTAATGTATTATAAACGAAGAGAAAGAGACAAAAATACTTCCTCCATTTCGAAGTCGGTAACGGAGTGTAAATGCGTTTTCTATTAATGACGTCGTAAATCCTACATTATGTAAAGAAGTGGTGACATGAAAATCAGGCTCCGATTACAACCACTTGTCTAAATGATCAACAATCCTCCAATCAAACTCTTAACGGATCATTCATTTTGAATAATGCCAATAATTGGGGAAGGATTCGACCTTGTGTTTGCTTCCAATCTCGATATGTCCGTCTAGAGCATACATGTATGGAGCGGGAGCTCTTGAAGGTCGAAGACTCCTGTTTGCTGAGCCAATAAGGAGCATGTGAGTCATGATCACGTGTGTTGCGTAAGGTCATAGCAACATAAAAAGAATGTATTGACTGTTCGCATTGCATACGGTAACCCGATGCACGTCATATGCCCCAGGTTTTTGGCATGTTTTTTTCTTTTGATGTTTATAAATAATTATGATGATGATGATGATGATAATAATAGTAAAAAAGATAATAATAATAATAATAATAATAATAATGATAATAGATCCTATGAGTACATCTCCTTTCACCTGATAGGCGGACCAAGAGATAATTTTATTTTGAAGGACATATGAACAAATAATAATATTTCCTGATCATTGTGAAATTACTTTTTCGTTGAATTCACAACCATTACTTCCAGATGGCTGATCATTATTCATCGCTGCACAACACCGTGCATCGAATATCCTTAAGGAAAATCGAAAGTCAGCCGGGACGTACACCGCCTGATAAATAACAACATAATAACCAGGAACAAGTAGCATATCAGAGATTAAGCTGATACGAATATGATATAATGTGAGCACTGATAAAAAAGGGAAATATTGAATACTATTTTACCAATTCAAAATGAATTTTAAAGAATATCTCTAATAACATTTTTAAAATACACTAAAAATAATAGTTTATTTCGCAAAATAATAAGAAATGTTTATCTTTGTGGAATCGTGGAAACCATCGGAATTTATTTGGTTTATTTTGGGTCACAGTAAGAGTGGAAATATCAAACACAGGACGCTCACTTTACCAAGACACCATGGGAGAATGAAAGGATCACGAGAACTATGTACCATGATCTGTAAATTGTTAGATTTTTGAAAAAAAACGGTCTAAATACTATGGATAGCTAAGAGAAGAATTTCTGATGAGCACATTGTAACATTTTATTTGCCCTATCTTTTAAGATTATCGTTAGAAAAAGAAAATTTACATGTTTCAGAGAATCCCTGACACTTCAAAGACAGTCATCGATGACAGACACCTTCTATTCAAAGGAAACAGTTTCAACAAGGCTACTTTGCTTTCTTTTTAAGCACCTTGAAGCCTACACCATTCCTTTGAAGGAAATAACAGAAACTTTGGCAACCGTGTTCAATTGGTCCAAACTGTTTCAAATATCGCTCTCATCTTCTTCCACTGGTACGAAGGCTCAGTTACATTTCCGTTGCCTTAGCAGCCTCGCTGACTGGGAGGTCCTAAGGTTCGAACTCCGACAGGGGCAGAATTTCGACAATAGCTACATAGAGAGGTCACATTCAACCATTGTCTGGAGTGGAAATTTAGTAGTCGACAGGTCTGATTATTTCATGAATAATACCAAACAAATGCCGCAGCAGTATCTAAACTTATGGGCCAAAAACCGCGAACTCTCTCTCTCCTTATACTTGACCCTTTCTCTCAACTTACACACGCACACGTCTCTTCCCACACACTTGCACATACACGTCTTTGCCACGGGTGTGGGAAACCACTTGGGAATTTAGAGCCTGTCCTGGCTTCGGCGCTGCCACTCCGGGCGACATATCTGGAAGGGAAAACCAAGCAAGGCGTCGTTGCTTGAAGTCTGGCTTGGCGTCTGCGCCAGAAGGTCGGCGCAGGTTCTCACATTCCAGCGGGGAAGGAACACCAATACTTCTTTGAAGTTGATTCATTCTAGTTACGGAACTAATGACAATAGTAGTTGAGCATAGTAGTAATCATCTTATTACTCATGCCATTGATCACATAATGTAAAATTAAAAAGTTATATCCACATCCCTAAATTCTCTCGAGCACTAATACATCGTTTATCCTGCGGAACATTAATTTTATCAATTTAAGCATTTATCCTATATTGATGCATACAAATTAATATAGGAATTTTTTAATATTACAATCATGGAGGTCACTGCTGGTTGGGGGAGGATGCGTCCCCCAAATGCTTTTTAATATACGAGGTGTATTGGAGGGAACCCTTCGGTAATCTGTACCTTGTCTATTCAATCGCAGCCCCCTCAATGATTTGGTGCTGGTGACACCCACGCATGTAGTAATATAACGATATCTAAATATAGACATGTCAATGAGAGTGTGACGATGATTTGGTGCTGTAACGCGCATGCATGTACAAATATAGCCATATCTAAATTTAGAGTTGTCACTGAGAGTGAGACGATGATCTGGTGCTGGCGTCATGCATGCTTGTAGTAGTGTTATCTTAATATAGACATGTCAATGAAAGTGTGACTATGATCCGGAGCTGGTAACACCCATGCATGCAGTAACACGACCCTATATAAGTGTGGAGATGCGTGATCTGGGCTGTCCAAGTAACGCCGCGTCGAAGGCTGTGTTGCCTACGTTTCGACCATCCTGTCGTGGTCTTCCTCAGGGCTGGTATGCGACTAGCAGCCCTGAGCATACCAGCCCTGACAGGATGGTCGAAACGTCGGCAACACAGCCTTGGACGCGACGTCACCCGGACAGCCCAGATCACGCATATGGCTTTGGCCGTGGAAGCCTACGACTTCATAAGTGTGGAAGATGTGACTGAGCGTGCGTGCGCCGTTTGCTGCGCAGGTGCTGGAGCGGATGGGCGCGGGCGACGCCTTCCAGCCGTCGGCCGACTACTCGGGCTTCACCGGCAGCCGCGGCCCGTCCTTCGACGGCGCCCGGCAGCGCGCGCGCCTTGACGCCGACGAGGAGGGCGCGACGGCCGCCGCCGCCACGGCGCT